ATAACTGCTGAAGTTTGTCTTTTGAAATTGAAGTAATGTGTATATACATATAGTTCCAGACCAATAGGAAGAAAATTGTTCACCTGTAAAATTATTTTCTGTTTTATTCCCTGAATATGATGTCAGAGTAAAAAGGGAAATGAGAAAAGAAAAGAAGCTGACTTAATCTAACCTAGTCTTTTGCTTCAGAGACCAATAACAGAGCAGACTGGCAATGATGACAGCGACAGGAGAGGCTTAATGGAAGGCATACCAGCCTGCTGTTAGGTATATGACCTTGAGCAATCATTGACCTTACTGGCCTCAATTCCTTCATCTGTGAAATGGGGATAGTAAAAACTACATGATTTTCAAATGTGAGAATCAAATAACATATATGAAAAATATATATGACTTTTGGTTATGAATTCCTTGGGTTTTTAAAAAATGTAATTTATTGCCAAGTTACCTAACATATAGTATATACAATGTGCTCTTGGTTTCAGGGGTAGATTCCCGTGATTCATCACTTACATACAACACCCAGTGCTCATTCTAGCAAGTGCCCTCCTCAGTGCCCATCACCCATTTCTCCCTCTCCTCCACTCCCCCCATCAACCCTCAGTTTGTTCTCTGTATTTAAGTCTCTTATGGGTTTGCCTCCCTCTCTGTTTGAAACTATATTTTCCCTTTCCTTCCCCCCATGGTCTTCTCTTAAGTTTCTCAAATTCTACGTATGAGTGAAAACATATGATATCTGTCCTTCTCTGACTGACTTATTTCACTCAGCATAATACCCTCCAGCTCCATCCACATTGCTGCAAACGGCAGGATTTCACTCTTTCTCATTGCCAAGTAATGCTCCATTGTATATCTAAACCACATCTTCTTTATCCACTTATCAATTGATGGATGTTTGGGCTCTTTCCATAACTTGGCTATTGTTGAAAGTGCAGCATAAACATCGGGGTGCATGTGCCCTTATGAATCAGTACTCCTGTATCCTTTGGATAAATCCCTAGTAATGCTACTGCTGGGTCGTTGGAGATTTCTATTTTTAATTTTTTGAGGAACCTCCACACTGTTTTCCAGAGCGGCTGTACCAGTTTGCATTCCCACCAACAGGGGACAAGAGGGTTCCTGTTTCTCCACATTCTCACCAACATCTGTTGTTTTCTGAGTTGCTCATTTTAGCCACTATGGCCAGTATGAGGTGATATCTCAGTGTGGTTTTGATTTGTATTTCACTGATGATAATTGATGTTGAGCATCTTTTCATGTGTCTGTTGGCCATCTGATGTCTTCTTTGGAAAAGTGTCTATTCATGTCTTCTGCCCATTTCTTCACTGGATTATTTGTTTTTCAGGTGTTTGGTAAGTTTGTTTTATAGATTTTGGATACTAACCCTTTATCTGACATGTCATTTTCAGATATCTTCTCCCATTCTGTTGGTTGCCTTTTAGTTTTGTTGATTGTTTCCTTCGCAGTGCAGAAGGTTTTTATCTTAATGAGGTTCCAGTAGTTCATTTTTGCTCTTGATTCCCTTGCCTTTGGGGATGTGTCAAGTAAGAAGTTGCTGCAGCTGAGGTCAAAGAGGCTTTGTCCTCTAGGGTTCTGATGGTTTCCTGTCTCACATTTAGGTCTTTTATCCACTTTGAATTTATTTTTGTGTAAGCTGTAAGAAAGTGGTCCAGGTTCATTCTTCTGCATGTTGCTGTCCAATTCTCCCAGCACCATTTGCTAAAGAGACTGTTATTTTTTTTCCTTTGGATACTCTTTCCTGCTTTGTCAAAGATTAGTTGGTCATACATTTGTGGGTCCGATTCTGGGTTCTCTATTCCATTGGTCTATGTGTCTGTTTTTGTGCCGATACCATACTGTCTTGATGATTACAGCTTTGTAGTAGAGGCTAAAGTCCGGGATTGTGATGCCTCCTGCTTTGGTTTTCTACATCATTACTTTGGCTACTTGGGGTCTTTCATGGTTTCATATAGATTTTAGGATTGTTTGTTCTAGCTTTGGGAAGAATGCTGGTGCAATTTTGATTGGGATTGCATTGAATGTGTAGATTGCTTTGGGTAGTATTGACATTTTAACAATATTCTTCCAATCCATGAGCATGGGATGTTTTTCCATTTCTTTGTGTCATCTTCAATTTCTTTCATAAGTTTTATATCACTTTCAGCATACAGATCTTTTACATCTTTGGTTAGGTTTATTCCTAAATATTTTAAAATATTTCTGACAAAGTTCCACAACTATGAAAACTATTCTTTATTTAGACAGTGAGAAGGAAAAGAATCCCTTAAGTTTTTGTCTTAATGGTTCTCTTTATTTGGAATATTTAAAAGTATCTCCTTAAAGTTTATTAATTTTTCTATACACAGCATGTATTTTTTTAAGCGGAAAAATATTAAAGGCTCAGAATACATCAAATAAATAAAATAGTTCAAAGGCAGGCTAAACTTTTTTCAGAGCTTGGAAAATGATCATTGCTGAGTCAAGAGGGAAGATGAATCAGACACCTTAAATAGTTATTCATAACATTGTATTTCTAGTTGATTATCATGGGAAAATCGTCAAATATGCATGCACCACAATAGTATTAGGCATATTATTTATAATACTGAAAAATGAGAATATTGAAATATTCAGTAATAGAAGTGATTAAATTATGGTTTAGCTAACCAGTGAGCTATTTAATTATTTAATCTTTTCCAGTCCTGTTTCCCAAGAATATTTGATGGTATGGGAAATATTTGTGTCACAATGTTAAGTGAATAAGACAAGACATAAAAAATTATACACTGTTATCTGAACTTTATTCATTATATGTAATATTCCGTATATTATACATCCCATATATAATATATTCTGTTTATATATGGAACACACATCTACATAAATAGACTATACACACCATATCTAAATTAAATAGTCAAAGCTGTTTTCTGTGTGTATCTAGATATGTATTTAAGAAAGAGACTGGAAGGAGACACATTAAAATATTAACTATGATTATTTTCAGGTGAGATTATAGGTACTTTCCTCTGAGTCTTTCAAATCCCCCCTGAAAAATGATGCATTTGGAAATGTATTTTTTAAACATGTATTTTTCAGAAAACAGCTTACCTCTTTCTCTCTCCTTTTATAACCACGGATTAGCTTTGTTCTATAGGTTTATTAATATCTAATGATCAGCACGGATTCTTATATCACTGTCTCTCAGTCCTTTGGTTGTTGGAATGTCCTTTTCTAATAGATTCTTTAGAAAGGGCTCATGGGGTCAATGTAGCCTGTAATTTGGCAAGTTTATGATAGTTTGTTTGCAGTTTTGTACTTGGAGGTCAGTTTGGGTAGATATAAAATCGTGGACTCCTATTTCCCTTCCTTGAGTATCTTAAATTTGGGCACTAGGAACTATTGAAAAATCTACTGACAATCTTCCTTTCTTTTCCTTATTAGTGACTTAGCCTTTTTGTCTGGTTGTCCAGTGATTTTTTTTGTTTAAAGTAGTTAAGTATGGAGCACCTGGGTGGCTCAGTTAAGTGTCCCACTCTTGATTTCCTGGTTTGTGTGTTCAAGCCTACATTGGGCTCTGCACTCTCAGCACCAAGCCTGCTTAGGATTCTATCTCCTTTCTCTCTGCCCCTCCCCTCCTTGCACATACTTGCTTTCTCTCAAAAAAAAAATTTTTTTTAAAGAAAAATAAAGTAGTTTCAACTATGATTCCTTGTTGGCCATGCTGACATGGTTGTGGTATCCTTTCAGTATATAATTTCAAGATTTTTTCTAAATTTTAGAAAAGTATTCTGGAATTATAGTCTTAATGTTTATTTTGTTCTATTGTTAGGTATTCTTTGCAATCTCAATCATATTTATATTAGGCTTGTGTGTGTGTGTGTGTTTACTTCTGTGTGTGTCACTTTCTTTTGAATGTTTTTAAAATCTCATTTCTTTTGAGGTTTTTTTTTTTCTTATTGAAGTTCAGTTGACATACAATGTTCTGTTAGATTAGGATGTACATCATCATGATTTGGCAATTTCACATATTATTCAGTGCTCACTATGATAAATGCAGTTATGGTCACCACATAACATTATTATAATATTTTTGACAATGTTCCCCATGCTGTACTTTGCATCTCTGTGACTCATTTATATTTTATAACTGGAATTTTGGATCTCTTTATTCTCATCACCTATTTTGCCAATCTCCTCATCCACTTCCCCTCTGGCAACCACCAGTTTGTTCTCTGTATTTAAGAGTGGTATCTTTTTCTTTTGTTTCGATACATTTGGAAATACATTTCTTTAAAATATACATATTTTAAAAACTACTCAGCCTGCATAATTCTTTAATGTGGAAAGTATTCTGTCACCCTCAGTATATTTCATTTTAGTAGTGGTCTTTTGACTACATTTCTTAATGAATACACACGCACAAACACACATGTATGCATATATTCCCACACATGTATACATCTGGCATAGTCTGCTAGGGAATATGCTACTGTGAATATTAATATTATTGGCAAGGGACCAGACTTTCAAGTCTTTAGTGATATTTTTCACCTTCCAGATGAATTTTAACAAAACAAATTCTTTTTGTTTACAAGTCTGAGATTCTTAATTCATTTTTAGGCTATTTTAATACAGCGATGAGAAAATTTTGGGGTAGGCCATAAATTGTTCAAAAATTATTCTATTTAACATTATTCATATGAAAATTATATTTCTCAGGCTTGGCATGAGGTCCTTTTGAAGTAGAGCACCAATTACTGTTCATTGTCAGCCACCGTGGTTCTCATCGCCCATTGGGGATCATGTGTCGGCAGCCTCAGGAAGAAAACTACCTCTGTGTCGACAGTAATAATCATTTCTAGTCATTAGGTAGCATTCATAACTAAACACTGAACAGGAATTAGGATGATGGTACTTAATCTCACATTTCTTTCTCTTTCAAGAATTAAATAAAATCTGTTTCATGTAGCTTGACATTTTATCCTGCTTTTTTGTAGAAAGGAAGATGGTGAACAACACGTACAAATGAAGTCCGTCAGGTACTTTGAACTGTGAGATCGACACCGGGTGGGTGGAAAAGGCCGCACATGCAAACCTTTAGGCAAAGTAAGAGGCAACGTCAAGACAGAATCGGTTCACGAATATGAGGATTTTCTCATTCAAGTGGTGATTGATTGTCAAGTACCTGTTGCCTTTTCTTTTCTATCTACTTGAGTAGCATTTTATCTTAAGGTGCCTTTAAATTTTTCCTACAAGAGCTGTTTATTAAAATGTTATTTTCCTTAAGCACTAGAGGAGAGCTGATTCCTTTTATATACAAATCACGATTACTAGTTATGGTTAGCAATTCATCGTCGTAAAATTCTTTGTCAGTTGCTTCAACATAATCTCAACATCAACAAACATTTTTCTATATACCTGGCAACCTGGCCGCATCTGAGTGTTGCTTTTTCTTCATTTATTCTGGCTTTTGATGTGATTTACAAAACACCGGCATGGGTCAAAGTGGCAGTAACAGTACACAGAACTAAGAGCCAGAGCCCTGCTGCTCCATTATGAAGCAGAGCCCCAGCCTCTGGTAAGCACGCCTTTCCTTCAGACGATCCTCCGGAAGCCTTGTCAAGTGCACCTCCTTCCAGTAAAGAGCTTTATTCACAAACTAGCGATTTTGCCTTCCTCTGGTTCCCTGGTTCCCACCATCAACATCCATTGTTCTCCACAGTGGCCTTGCTCCCCCCCCCCCCCTCCGTCCTCACCTGTCTCTAACCCGTAGCTCTAAGAGCAGCCTGTCTGCTGAACAGCCCTGGCATTGGTGTCCATTGCTATTGTCCACGCTAGTGGGTAATACTGGTAGAAACAAGGTGATAATTTTAGCACGAGGATAATGATAACATTCTTCTAATCATTACATTTTAATCTAAAAATTACTCATGAATAGACCAAAGTAGGAGTGTATAACTAAATTTTATGTGAATATTCATATAATTTGGATTCCATCCAGTTCATCAAAAGTACATATTTTGTTCCAGGAATGGCATTACCCAAGGGTAAATGGTTGGGGGAGAGGAGAGTATTATTTCCATCAGTCTCCATTAGTGTTCTCCTCTCCCCCACTCTTTTATGTAGAAAAATTACATTTTCTTTCATCTAATTTAAAGTAGCTCTAGGGGCGCCTGGGTGGCTCAGTCGGTTAAATGTCTGACTTTGGCTCAGGTCATGATCTCGCAGTTTGTGGGTTTGAGCCCGGCGTCAGGCTCTGTGCTGACAGCTCAGAGCCTGGAGGCTGCTTCAGATTCTGTCTGTCTCTCTCAAAAATAAACAAACATAAAAAAATCTAAAAGTTGCTATAATAACAGGTCACAGCAAGTCTCCTACTGCTTACCCATCAGATTGTCCTCTTAAAACTCTTATGTGGAAATTCTGGAGTTGCCATGATCTGCGTGTTGTAGGAAAAACAGACAAATGTTGACAGTTAAGTGTGAAGAGTTAGATAGCCTAATTCTTGAAATGTAATTTTCCCCCTACATTTTACCATCTGTGAAAAATGTCCTATCAATGGTGTCTTCATGCTAATTGGCAACAGTTTTCTTTCCTTCTGAAGGATTAATACTGAATTTCCAACAGATGGTGGCTTAGGTTTGATGACATATGGTAGTGGTATGAAAGGTGTTGAGGTAGTGGAGAGAGAGAGGTGATTAATCATATAGTAGTCATAGAAAGTTTTTGGGAGAATAACCATGCTGGGTTTTGAAGAAGAAGTAGGATTTTTCTACGAATATAGAAGGGAAGGATATTCTAAGCCTAGTAAAGAGCAAGTCAGAGGAGATGTGAGATGACTTGGCATGTTTGAAGACTAGCAAGTCATTTGGCATTGCTACTGAATAACACTTGGAAAGGTAGGGAAAGCATGTGGAGATGGAACTTAATGAGCACACAAGCCAGGGCATGGAGAACCTTGAGATGTCATTAGGGGGTTTGGCCTTTCCTCTTAGGCAGTGGAAATGTATTTAGGCAGCTTTATGCAGTGGAATTAGATGACTTCATTTGTTTTAGAATAATTTTGGAAGTCCTGGTTTGTATAGGCTGGAAGAAGAAGACACTAGAAGGTATAGCAGGTTACAAGGCTTTTGGGGATAGTGCAATGAGCTATCACCTAATGAATTTAGGTGGTGACAGAGTGGATGGAGAGGAAGAGAAGACATACTTAAGAACGATTTTAAGAACTAGAACCTATAGGGGTTTGTGATTATTTGGTTCCTCAGAGTAAAGAAGGAAGGGTCTAGAATGACCCTAGTGATGTCAGCAACCAAGATAAAATCTATAAAAGGAGTAAATCAGGGGTAAGGGAGGAAGGAGAAATACAATGGGGTAAATTGCAAAGAATGTATTCAGTGTGGGATTACTTGAGGCTTAAGGCACTTGTGAATCATTTAGGTGTGTAGTTCAAGTTTTGAAGGTCGGGACCTGAGTGAAGTATGAATGAGGTAGGGATTTCACAGTAAGTAGCTTATGTAGAGTTGTAAAGTCTTTGCAGGAAGGAGATATTTTAGGGTGAAGCTGTAAGGTGAGGAAAGAGTATAGCCAAATTGGGAAACAGACACTGCTCTTTAAGGATTGAAGAAGAGCTGATAAAGAGACTAAGGGGACTGAGCTGAGCAGGGAGGATGGAGGAGCGGGAGCGGTCACAGAAGCCAGAAAAAGAATGAGGAATGTCAGCACTGTCAAATTCAAGGCAAGGATCAAGAAGGAACTGCATCAAACAAGGAAATTAGAAATAGTTTCGGCGGGGCAGTGTCTGTGGGAGGTTGATTTTAATAGATGGAAAGGTGACTGCCTGTGAAGTGAAAGACATAGTAGAGACAGTGTTCTTCCCAGGAAGCTGGCTGAGAAGGGAAGACAGCAAGAGAAAAAAAACCCCTAGAATTGGGAAAAGGTTGTCCCCCCGCACCCACACACACACCAGATGGAGAGACTTGCACACATTTGTAGCCCCATGGGAAGGAGCTGTGGAAGAGAATGAGATTAAGATGCTGATAACTGCTGACACCAGTATCCGGGAGGAGTGAGCTATAATAGAAGGCTACCCAACTCTTCTGAGGACTGGAAGTTCTAGAACTACCCACATGGCTCTCAGACACATCTTAATTCTTGAAGGCTTCCAAAAATGAGATCGGGAGGAAGGAGCAGAGCTAGTTGCGGGGGGTGAAAGCACTGTGAATGAGCACTGTCCCTGCGCTCAGCAGTGCCCTCCTCTTCCCTGAACTGTGAGTCCAGGGCCAGAGTTGGGAGCAAGGACAGTGTGTGCTTGCTGGCCTCCGCGGGCTCCAGCTGTGCCCCTGGGGTAACCGTGGGTCTGCTCATGGTTAAAAATAAAGGAGGTTCTTTTCCTTCTTAGAGAAGCTCATAGTGAAACTGAAAAGCGGAGGAGAGATAAAATGAATAACCTGATTGAAGAGCTGTCTGCAATGATCCCCCAGTGCAATCCCATGGCACGTAGACTGGACAAACTTACGGTTTTAAGAATGGCTGTCCAACACTTGAGATCTTTGAAAGGTGAGTCTGGAACTGGCTTCCACACTTGGATTTGTGAAGTCCTCCCTGTAATCGAAGTCTTTGATTCGTTTGTTTTGTTGTTATCGGCTACTGAGATTGTGTACAGATGTTTCTTTCAGCGTTATAGGCATTGTTTTTTTATCGGTATCAATTTTGATGCTTGCTAATATTCTCTATGTGGAGAGAGCATTAATCTAGGTTTCAAAAATCTCGGCTTCACTAAAAGCTTTATCTTAAGTGCACATGGTATACTTTTCCGTTTGTGTCATCTTCCAAGTCTTTTAGCATGTCTTACAGTTTTCAGAGTATAGTTCTTCCACTTCCTTGGCCAAATTTATTCCTAGGTATTTTATTATTTTTGATGCAATGCTGAATGTAATTGTTCTATTAATTTCTTTTGCTGCTAGTTATTAGTGTATAGAAGCGCAGTGGATTTCTGTATATTGATTTTGTATTCTGCAACTTCACAGAATTCATTTATTCTAATAGTTTTTTGGTGGAGTCTTTAGGAAGTTCTATATATAGTATTTTGTCATCTGCTTATAGTGACGGTTCTATTCCTTCCTCACCACTTTGGATGCCTCTTATTTCTTTTTCTTATCTGATTGCTGTGGCTAAGGTTTCCAGTACTATGTTGAATAAAAGTGGTAAGAATGAACATCCTCATCTTCTTCCTGATCTTAGAGGAAAAGCACTCAGCATTTTACCACTAAGGATGAAGTTAGCTCTGGGTTTGTGATTTATAGCATTTATTATGTTATGTTCCCTCTATACCCACTTTGTTGAGTTTATCTGAATATTGTATTTGTTAAATGCTTTTTCTACATCTGTTGAGGTGCTTATATAATTTTTATCTTTCATTTCATAATATGGTGTATTTTGATTGATTTGCAGATACTGAACCATCCTTGCATCTCTGGAAAAAATCCCACTTGATCATGGTGAATGATCCTTTTAATGTATTATTAAATTTGGTTTGGTGTAGTATGTTGTTGAGTGTTTTTGTGCTTGTCAGGGCTATTGGTCTGTAACTTTGTTTTGTAGTGTCTTTGTCTGGCTTTGGAATCAGGGTAATGCTGGCCTCCTAGAATGAATTTGGAAGTTCCCCTTTCTCTTCTGTATTTTGGAATGATTTGAGAAGGGTAGGTATTAATTCTTTAAATGTTCGGTAGAATTCACAGATGAAGCCATCTGGCCCTGGACTTTTGTTTATTGGGAGTTTTTTGACTACTGGCCCAATTTCATTGCTGGTAATTGTTCAGATTCTTTCTTCCTGATTCAGCTTTGGAAGATTGTAGGTTTCTAGAAATGTATCCGTTTCTTCTAGTTTGTCTGATTTTTTTTCTCGGTAAATCTGGCTAAAGTTTTAAGAATTTTATCTTTTTAAAGAATGAACTCCTAGTTTCATTGATCTTTTCTGTTTTTTTGGGGGGGTGTATATTTCATTTATGTCCACTCTGATCTTTATAAGTTTTTTCCTTATACTAACTTTGGGTTTTGTTTGTTCTTTTGCCAGCTCCTTTAGGTATAAAGTTAGATTGTTTGAGATTTTTTCTTCTTTGAGTTGGGTCTGTATCATCATAAATTTCCCTCTTAGAATTGCTTTTGGTACATCTCAGTGATTTGGAATCATTGTTTACATGTTCATTTATCTCCATGTATTTTTTCCTTTCCTCTGTGATTTCTTGACCCATTGTTTGTTTAGTAGCATGTTTTTTAGCCTCCACACATTTGTGTTTTGTTTCTTTTTTGTAATTGATTTCTATCTTTTTTATTATTACCCTTTCAGTCTTCTTAAACTTACTGAGACTTATTTTGTGGCCTAACATGTGATCTATCCTGGAGAATGTTTCACATGCACTTGAAAAGAATCTGTATTCTGTTGTTTTTGGATGGGATGTTTTGTGTATGTAAATCTGTTAAGCCCCATCTATTGTACTCTGTCATTCAAAGCCATTGTTTCCTTATTTTCTGTCTGGGGAATTTATCCATTGATATAAGTAAGGTATTAAAGTCCCCTACTTATTAGGGGACTTTGGTTGTTGATTTTTATTATTGTTATTATTATTTTTCCCTTTATGGATATTAATGTTTGCCTTCTGTATTTAGGTGCCCCTATAGTGGAGGCATAGGTATTTACAATTGTTATATCCGCTCTTGTTGGAGCGGTCCCTTTATTATTATGTAATGGCCTTCTTAGTGTCTTGTTATTTGTCTTAAAGTCTATTTTGTTGATGTACGTATTGCTACCCCATCTTTTCTTTTGCTTTCATGCACATGGAATATCTTTTTCCATTCCTTCATTTTCAGTCTGTATCTTTAGCTCTGAAGTGAGTCTCTTGTAGGCAGTATAGAGTTGGGTCTTGTTTTGTTATCCATTGAGTCACCCTGTGTTTTGATGGGAGCATTAGGTTTATTTATATTTAAAGTAATTATTGATAGGTACATATTGTCATTTTAAAAATTGTTTTCTCGTTGTTTTTGTAGTTCTTCTCCATTCCTTTCTTCTTCTTTTAGTCCCTTCCCTTGTGATTTGATGACTTTCTTTAGTGTTATGCTTCGATTTCTTTATTTTTTGTGTATATTATAGGTTTTTGATTGTAGTAACCATGAATTTCATATATAACATCCCAAGTATAGAGCAGCCTGTATTAAGGTGAAAGTCACTTAACTTTGAACACATTCTAAAAGCACTACCTTTGTGTTCCCCCTCTCTGCATTTTATGTATATGATGTCATATTTTACATCTTTTTATTCTGGGTATCCTTGATTTTTGTAGATATAATTTTACTATCTTTGTCTAGTAACTGTCATTCTAGCTTTGTAAGTAGTAGATCCACTATCTTTACTATATGTTTGTTTTTACCAGTGGAATATTTTTCTTTCATAATGTTCTAGGTTTAACCTTTTCTTTTCTGCCTAAGAAGTCCCTTTAACAAAAAAGTAGATACTTTCAATCACTTTCCTTAGATTTCCACATGTTGTAGAACAGTGGCTTCTCTACTCCAGCCAGCTGACTGTGTGCAGATCCAGAAAGTAGGTGGTGGGGAAAAGTACAGCCTTGACCCCTTCAGTACCACGCACAGCAGCACAAGTGTGGGGATACTGCTTGGCCAGCTTCCTTTTGGGAGTGTGACTGGAGGTCTCATTTTCATAACTACCTGTTATGAAGTAAGATTCTCTTTTACCCACAACTGGATCTTGCATAAGTTGATGCAATATTTCCCTTAAATCTTGGCAGTGAACATTAGCAGCCTCGACTGAGGTCATTTGATTGCAACCCTAAAATTACCCAACAGTTTTCACATTCGCAAGGCCCTGAGGGAGGAGGACCTAAGGGAAAAGCCACGGATCTATCAACTAATGCAACAAACATGCCCTGGGCAGCAATTAGCTTCCTGTCTGTGCTGGGAGCTTGAAAAGGAATCAAGATCTCTATGCTCTGTGTGTTCACGGTAAGCAAGGGTGACAGACCCAGGCAGAGATCATTAAAACCTAGTATGATAAATGCGACAGTGGAAGTAGGAGTGACCAGAACAGCAAGAGAAGCTGCGTGGGGAGGAGACGCTGTCTAAATCCAGTGCCGATTCCGTGAAACGGAGCACAGGTTTTTGCCCTTCTTAGCTGAAGCGCGGTGGTCAAGTACTCCTCACACATCCTGAGTGTACCCTCTAGTCCGTAGTGCATGCAAGTGAGACGACTTAAGGCCACTGGCTCTGTCTGCCTCCTAGGGCATTGACCAGCGTATACCCCCAGCTCACACCACAAAAGCCTAGACACCGAATCATCAGAGGGCTGCAGGTGGATTGTGTTATTTTGTTCCCTCCATAATAACTTTAGAGGCAGAAGGATGGTGACTGATTTTTTGCACCAGACTCTAAACAGTGCTTCTCCAGTTAGCTGGATGGTGGAGGACAAGTGTGGTCTCCCCCCGTTCGTTGTGAAATACATTTAATTACTGGGAAAACGATCATGGGCTGGGATCCACAACAGTGTCACGTTTCCGTAAAAGTATCTAAATGCTTGTTCTTAATTTCCGTACTCACCTACCACAGTTTGCTGATGACATTGGTCTGCAGACCACACTTAGGGGAGCCCTTCTTTTTATCCTGTGCCTTCAGAGAAACTGCGGGCATTGTGTGTGTGCAGTCATAATACGGGACCCCGTGAGGTATAGTGGTACATGAGGCAAACGTCCTGGGTTCAAATCTTGGCTCCCTGACGTAAGAGCTGTGTGACTTACTCCAGTTATTGAACATTCTAATCCTCAACTTCTGTATCGGTAAAATAGGGATAAAGCACTTACCTTATAGGGTCATTGTTAAGAGTAAAGAATTATACACTTAAAGGGCAAGCACCGTGTTTACTCCTGGTGGAGTTGGGGGTAAGAGGAGGAGATGGAGGAATACTTACTGTGATTTCAATCATTTTAACCTAATGAACACTGTCATAAAGGTAAGCAGTCATGTTTCCTCATTTGTTTTTGCAGCAGAAATCTGAGCATCCACATTTGTTATTGATCCCTCGTCGGCACGTGTACATCGCAGCATGCGTTTAATTAACACACCTCACCCTAGCTTCAGCTCTGCCCTTACACCCCTCATTTGCTCATGAGCACGTCCTCACTCACTGTCAGGGCTCACCTATTCTGGCCAATTTACACTGACGGGATTTCCCCAGCATACCTCTGCCAACCTTGCCTCAGGCCAGACAAGCAGATAGCACTGCTTTGCTCAGATTGATTTATTGCTGTACCCTGGCCTGGAACTCAGTCTGTATCTTTCAGCTCTTTCTCAACTTCCTCCCACCAGGTTGCCATGTAATGATTATAACAAGAGCTCATTTGAAGGAATTCTTGGCGGCCTACCTAGAAGGTAGATTCTGAAAGATAGATTTTTTTTTTTTAAGAGAGAAGAGAGCATGCAGTCTGGGGAGAGGGGCAGAGACAGAGAAAATCTTAATCAGGCTCCATGCTCAGCACAGAGCTCAACATGGGGCTCAGTCCCATCACCCTGGGATCATGACCTGACCCAAAATTAAGAGTCAAAGTCACTCAACTGACTGAGCTACCCAGGTGCCCCTGACGGATGTTTCCATTGCTTATGCAAGGCTCATAAGGGTGCTACCAACGTGAGAAAACTATCAAATCATACCATGAGATGTTTTTTTGATTTTTTCCCCCTACCACTTAGGTATTTTATGTCTGAGCTGCAAATCCATCCAAAGCCAGTGTATAGTTAATGTATCTCAGGGTAGAGGGGAGAACCCTCTCGGGGCATTAACCCTCTTTCTCTTGCAAAAGCAACTTTTCTTGCAATCCTTAGGAAGAGGGCTTGGCGGGAGGGCAAGTTGATTTACCTGTGAATCACCCTTGCCTGGAGGTTATCTGGGGACACGGCACCTTGGCTTGGTGGACTGTTCCCTGCGCCCCCTTGTGGCCACAAAGGGCTTTCTCCTGTCAAGGTGGGTAGATGCCTTTGGGCAAATGTGATTTTGGTGCTTCCCTTACTTCTCCCATTCAAACTTGGACCTAGGTTTTGACCTGCTGATTCCTTATTTTGCCAGCTGTTCAGTTATTTCAATCCAATATTGCTCTGTGCTTATGGCTTGAATTATTTATATTTTATACATATTTGTATATTATAAGAAGTCTCCATATGATTTTTAAAGAGCCATATGGAAAATCTTATGAATCCATAGAAATGGTTTAAAATTCCACGATCTTTCTATTTAGGGTAATTCACATGATCAGTGTTAATAAGCTAAGAGATTATAGAAGTAACTAGATTCTTGAATATTGTTTCATGTTGTAGTGTCATAGATAATATATTACTCTTTAAATACAGCTCCTGTCTACACATCTAAGTATAAGGGAATAAGTAGTTCTAAGAATTTACAATATAAAAGGAAGACATTTTAGTCTAGTAATAATGAAAGAATGATCACAATAAGGTCTTAAAATGTGGTAAAAGAGAAAATACCAATATTTCAATAGTGGTGGCAGCAACACGTTTCCAACGCCACAGTATTTTCCTTAACTTTTGGTCTTACTTTTAGGTATCACAAATCCTTATGCAAGAGTTAATTATAGACCTTCATTTATTCAGGATAATGAGCTCAGACACTTAATCCTTAAGGTAAGTAAAGAGATCTAAGCTGCGTTTGTCCTTTACGCTTTGCTTGAGTGGGATGCAGATTTTCTTCAATTTGCTTCCGGTTGTAAACACATGGGACTCTTTATTACACCACATTCCCTTAATACAAAAATAAGTTGCACGAGTAACCATGTCTCAGCTTGGGCTGATAAAAGTAGAGACAGGGGATAGGTACTTTCCAGTGTACAGAGCAAAGCTGGTCTTTAATCCTAAGCTTACATCACCTACTGCACTCACCTTCTATGCCATGGGATCCATTCCCTGTCACCACCACCTTCAGAGCCATCTACCTCATGTCCTATTCCTTCAGGATCCTGTTCTCTGCACATTAGCCAGTTACTATTATGAGCTCTCAGCTGATGCTTTGACATTTCTGTTCTCATCGTTTCACATGCATAGGTTTTCAGATTCACTGGTCTAGAGGTTTATTTGACATGGAAAATATGACCGTGTCATTGGCTTATCCTGCCCCCAGGAGGTGATAAGTGTCTTGATCTTGTGCTGTGACTCCTGGGCTTAAAGCCATAGTATCAAACAGAAAGATTTTTCGTATATCTATATACTTGTCTATTTTTCTTTTGATCTTTTTAAAAGCTTATTTATTTATTTTGAGAGAGAATAGGCAAGCAAGAGGGAGAGAGAGAGAGAATCCCAAACAGGCTCCGCACTGTGGGTTTAGAGCCTGATGAGGGGCTCAAACCCATTAATTGGGAGATCAAAATCTGAACTAAAATCAAGACTTGGACACTTAACCAACTGAGCTACCCAGACGTTCCTTCATTTACTTTTGTTAAAAAGACTCTTTTTAATTTCTATTTATTTTGAGAGAGAGTGGGTGGCTCAGTCGGTTAAGTGTCCGACTTCGGCTCTGGTCATGATCTCACAGTTTGTGAGTTCGAGTTCCGCATCGGGCTCTGTGCTGACAGCTCAGAGCCTGGAGCCTGTTTCAGATTCTGTGTCTCCCTCTCTCTCTGACCCTCTCCTGCTCACTCACTCTCTCTCTCAGAAATTAAAAAATGTATTTTGAGCGAGAGAGAGAGAGAGCGCATGAGCGAGCAAGGGAGGTGCAAAGAGAGTAAGAGAGAGAGAGTCCCAAGCAGACATTGTGCCATCAGTGCAGAGCCCAACGAGGAGCTCAGACTCACAAACCATGAGATCATGACCTGAGTTGAAAACAAGTCAGATGTTCAACCAACTAAGCCACCCAGGCTCCCCTGAAAGGCCCTTCTTTTATTTGAGCAGTAGTATGTATGTATTTATTGGAGGGGGGGTGCCCACAGAGGGACAGAGAAAGGGAATTTTAAGCAGGCTCCACACCCAGTACAGAGTGTGACTCAGGGCTCGATCTCATGACCATGAGATCATGACCTGAGCTAAAATCAAGAGTCAGACACTTAACTGACTAAGCCACCCAGGTGCCCCTGAACAGCTTTATTTAAATATGATATTCCTGATAGAAAGGATTTTTTTTTTTTTTAAGATAAAGATTTTTAAAGTTAGCACAATGTATAGTATGCTTTGGAAACTTTCTCACCAATCTTTAGGGGTTTCTTTCAGTCATAATATAATACTGGTTCTGCCCTTATGGAATATGTCTGCCTAACTCACCTCATGTTAATTTGTAGAAATTAACCAAGGAAATATCCAGTGGAGTGCCAGATTCATCCTGTATCCATACATATCCATTTCCATATAGGCTGCTTCCCAAAGGATGCCCTGGGCCGATTTCAGTGGGAATAGCTGATGTTAGAATCTTTTAAATTTAGTATAAATGAGTGTATCATATCATTACCATGGTTCAAAAAGTATATCATAGGATGTCTTCTCTTTTTCTTGTCTGTAACCTGCACAGTCCCTGCATCTCAGAACATCCTTAGGCAAATGTGATGGATGTGTTTTGATATCTTTGTAGTTTCTGTACACGGTATAGAATTTGGTATAGGTAATTTTTGTATTAGAAAATCTCTCAACCAACCAAACAGTCCAAGGCTAAACTTTCCATGTCAAAAATAACTTTAGATTGGAGTTCAATTTGATGTTCTTCACAAATCCTTCTACATCTTCAGAAAATTTCCTAATTTTACTAGCTCAATGAACACTCTTAATTTTTTTTAATCTGTTTTGAGAGGCAAAGAGAGTGGGGAGAATCTCAAGCAGGCTCTGCTATGTCAGCACAGAGCCTGATCTGGGGCTTGAACTCACAAATTGTGAGATCACGACCTGAGCCGAAATCAAGAGTCTGATGCTCAACCAACTGAACCACCCAGGAGCCCCTAACCACTCTTAGTTTTATTGCTACAGTAATTTTCACAGTCTCTGAATGTGTGTAAGAAAGAAGATACTTGAAAACATTTACTTTTCTATTTTTAAATCCTAGACTGCAGAAGGCTTCCTATTTGTGGTTGGATGTGAAAGAGGAAAAATTCTCTTCGTTTCTAAATCAGTCTCCCAAATTCTTGATTATGATCAGGTATTGAAGACCGAGGATACTTTCCACATGATGTTTAGCTTTTTTTTTTTTTTTTTCCAACAAACACATATTTCCAAATTGTCTTCCTGAACCCTGTCTTCTTAATGGGCTGGGGGCTTAGGTTTGCTAGATTAGGAGAACTCCAAGAGAGATGGAAAGAGTATGGGTGTTTATTACTGACAAGAGTGTACACTTCTTGACCTCCAGCAAGTTATTTAATTTTCCTGAGCCTCAGCTTTCTCTTGTATAAAATGGGAAAATGATGATTACACTGGTCTCTTAGGATTTAAAGACATAGCTATTATATTTGAGACTATCTGAAAAATGTTAGTTGCGCTTCTGCTTCCTCCAAAAGACAGCATTATTATATATTATTAGGTTACATGCATTACATAACATCTTTTGCTCTAATCTCTGGCAACAGACTCTAAAATACATCTTTTATTTAACTAGCTATAATCTCTACCTCCTTATTCCTGAATCCCATTTAATTTAAAATAGTTACTCAAAAGCTATAGCACCAACACTCATCCACGAGACTAAATAACCTAGCACCTGTGGTCTCCCTTATTCGTTTTAAGTTTATTTATTTTGAGAGGGAATTATGTGAGCAGAGAAGGGGAGAGAGAGGATCCCAAGCAGGCTCCTGGCTGTCAGCACAGAGCCTGACGTGGGGCTTGATCTCATGAACCATGAGATCATACTGTGATCTCCTTTAAAATAGAAATCAAATAGACCACAGCTTTAATCTTAACTCTCATCAATTTCACCTATATTCTCCCTAAACTTGAAAATTTGGAGAGAGAGATACAAGATTCATAGGTAAGAAGAAGAGGTATCGCGAGCCTACTTACTGAAGGAATAAGAACCCAATGAATCATGCCGCTGGTTTTAGCCGCCTAGGGGACACAAAGGCAGGGCAAGACTTATTTCCAAGCAGACAGAGAACACCACACACACACATGTGCGGAGATAACTTAACAATTCAGGATAGCACGTAAGTTCCAAGTGAGTGAGGTGGAATCCCCCTCACACAGGGTCTGGTCCTCAGCTTTTCAGACTCAGAAACCTGATCTTCTTTGAGGCATAGAGTTATGGATATAAACTTCTATTAACCAAACACACAGATTGATTAATAGAATGCTAGTTTTAAAAATATAAGATATCTAACTGCCACCAGGCTACTTATATCAGCTGGTGCCTTTGTTCTGTCTTCTATAATATCTACCTAGCTAATAAAGGATTTCGCAAGACAGGTGATCACTGTGGGTCAGGGAAGGCTTCATATACAAAACAGACTGTCTGCCTAGGCTTTAAGATGAGCAGGGAGTCTGGGGGAGTAAAAGGCAATTGACTAGAGTGGCTAGGGAATTTCAAGTTTGTAGAGAAAGGAGGAATGAATTCTAGGTGATGAGACCATGCAAGCAAAGGCATAGAGTAGGAATGCTATACATACTGGGAGAAGGGGAACGAGAAGTGGGAAGTAGGAGGCGTTCCAGCTAGGATTTTTTAAAATGTTTATCAGAGAAGAGGGGAGAGAGAGAATCTCAAGCAGACTCCACACTAAGTGCAGAGCCCAAGGAGGGGATCGATCTCATGAACCGCCAGATCATTGACCTGAGCCGAAACCAAGTGTCAGACACTTATCCGACTGAGCCACCCAGGTACCCCAGATTTTGTTTTTTAGTAATATAGTAATAATTTTAATAATAATATTGTTTAATCTGAGTCACACCATACAATCACAGATTCCCTGTAACTTCCATATTATAATGACAATCTCTTTACTTTTACCAAGTAAAAAATCAGTTTTAGAAGTTACGAGTGAATGGGGGGATGTTCACAGGAGTTCATGGAATATTAGCAGTTAGGTGTCTGTGATTCGTGTGTTTCCAGATACAGTTTTGTGTCCGTGTATTCTATCTACAAGTATCATCCTGCTTTTCACACTAAGAACGTCACATAGTGTAGTAGATCAAATTTTGAGCTTAAGAAAAAGCTGCTTTAACAGTACTTACCATATATTTATATGAGGAAGTGTGGAAAAATTCAGGTACTAATTTTAAACAAACATCTACCTTATAAATAGGCTAGCCTGACTGGACAAAGCTTATTTGACCTCTTACATCCAAAAGATGTTGCCAGAGTAAAAGAGCAACTTTCTTCTTCTGATATTTCACCAAGGGAGAAGATGATCGATGCCAAAAGTAAGTGCTCATTTCAGCATGCTTATAATTTTATGTAAATATGATTCTTACTTAAAAGCACAGCTATATGATATTTTGAAAAATTAGCCAATTATGGTTTTGATAAGAGGAGATTTAGTAAACTTTACAATCATTAACTTCAGAGTTCAAAAAAAAACAGTAGAACTAGAGAATCCCTTCATATTCCTACAAAGATGCTTTAATTGTTTCATATTCACTATTTTTCATATGCTAATAAAATCTTTAGAAGAAAGTTTCATTTGGGATTTAAAAAATTGCTGGAGTTTCCATCATTCATCTATATGCTAAGAAATAATTCTCTTTCTTCTATGGGTTAGGACTACTCAATATGAAAGACCTTGCATAATTGTACTTTGGAAGTGTAAATATTGTTTATCTTCTCTGAAAAGACCTCCCTGAAAATGCTTAGTGCCAAACAATTATTTTTATACTATTTTGATGCTTTATGTGATTGATTACTACTATAGTTAAGGGTTTTTTTCATTAAATTTTTTAAAAATTTCATTTCTCTTAGATTACCTTTATTTCTATCCCCAGGGGTAAAAAAAAGGAAGATAAATTGCAAGTGTTTAGAAGGTATAAAAATATGATTGCTTGACAAATGCTCTTTTTGGTATATTTCACTTTGCGGTTTACTATACAATGATGTCACTGCTTTAAGTAACCATTTTTCTTTTTCAATTTATAAAAAAAGTGTTTTAAAATGTGTCCCGTGACATTTCTTATCTATATGAAAATATTCTTTTCTGCCTGTTCTCCTCCTGCTATGAAAGCTGGTTTGCAAGTTCACTGTAATTTCCACAGTGGAAGGACTCACGTGTATTCTGGCTCAAGACGGTCCTTTTTTTGTCGGATAAAGACCTGTAAAATCTCTGTCAAAGAAGAGCATGAATGCTTATCTGCCTCAAAGAAAAAAGGTATCATCATCTTAAGATGTCAAATGATGGATGGATATAAAATTAATGTCCTAAAAGACTTATAAACAGAAATAATAAAGTGTATGGTCAAGGCAAATAACTGAGGCCAAAATCATCAAAGGAAATAAGATTGTTTTTAACTAGAATTATTAAGATTGGCTCATCATATCTTTTAAATTTAGCAGGTAATTAGTTACATATTTTCTTTATTGCCCAAGATTTTAATGGTGCTGTTGGAATCAAATGGGGGGAAATGGGAAGAGATTGAAATAAAACTTTTGTTATGCAATTTCATTGTTACTTTAAAAAAAATGTAATAGTACAGGAGCCCGATTTGATTAATTGGTGAAAGTTTAAGATGTTCCAAGTGCAGTTTCAATGATTTTAGTTCTTTGGTAAATATATCCAGTTCTGTTTTCTTGTGATTCTTCTGTAGATTTGTCTTATTTACATTTGTAATTGAGTTAACACTCATCTATTTTAATTAACTGAGAAATTCCAGGGACTGCAAAATGTCTCACACTTTTTTGCCTATTATGTATAGAATTTCCTATGCAAATTTTAATTTGCTTTCACATCCTTTAAAAGGATATTTATATATGGGTGCCTGGGTGGCTCAGTTAGTTAAGTGTCAGACTCTTGATTTGGGCTCAGGTCATGATCTCACAAGTTCAAGCCCCACATTGGGCCCCATGCTGACAGTGTGGAGCCTGCTTCGGATTTCCTTTCTCTCCCTCTGCCCGTCCCCAACTTGTGTTTCTTTTCTCTCTCTCTCAGAATATTTAATATCTTAGAGATATTTATAAATATCTCAGGATATTTCTATACAGCTGGAAGATTCAATTTATTTACACGTTTTGGTCACATCTTTTTTGGCAACCATCTAAGATATTTCTGTGTCAGATTAGACACTGTGCTAAATGCTTTATTTCCTGTGAAAACACTATTCTTACCCCTGATTTAGAATCAGGGAAGAGACTTAAAGAGATTCAATAACTTGCAGAAATCGTCAAAACTCACACTCAAACCTAAATTCCCTACCCATCTGTTACACTCTAAAGACACAGAAGTGGAGTGAATCAGCAGTCATAAGAGAGGAACTGTTTGTAATCCATCAGCTGCTGCCTTCTTGTCGTTGGCTGTGGGTCTGCAAGAGTTGCCTGAAATCACTTGTAAGGCCCCCTGGGGTTGAAGTCACAACTGACCTGGTGATGAAGAGGCTGCGGAATCCTGCCGACTGTGATCAAATTTTGCTCTATCGCTTGCTAGCTCTATAGTGGTGAACACATTTCTTAATCCCTCTGAGTTCCAGTTTCCTCTATAAAATGATGTGGTTCACAGGGTGGGATGTTTGGTGAAGTAGGTGACTGCATGGATTCTGGAGCCAAAGCATTCAGGTTTGAATCCTAACTTGTGTGGCTTAAGATAAATACTGAATCCTTCCGGGTCTCAGTCTTTCAACCATAAAAAGAAAATTATAGAACCTCCTTCCTAGGGTGGTTATGAGGATTAAATGAGTTAATACATGTGATACGCTTACCATGGTTCCTAGTATAGTAATGCTAGATAAATATTAGGAGCTGTTATGAGTGTTACTAGAAATAATGCACATAAACTGTTAGGACAGTATGAGCAGATGGTGTTGTCATTACCTCAGGGCTCCTGTTTTCTCTGCCTTCCTTCCCAAGTCAGCCATATTAACCTCATATTAATCTTATATTTGACATGGCCATATAGTGTGGAACTAGTCTCCAAGGGCAAGAATATTCCTTCTGCATGGATGGTCCAAGGAGTCATGCTCCATGTAGACCTTGGACTATAGTACATTCTACCCTTAGGATTTAACTAGAAGTAAACCAATATCATATTGAGTAGATCCAACCATAAGTGAATCCCCTAATCGATACAGCAATCCATGTGAGAGAAAAACATGGCACCCAAAGCAATTACTTTAACGTGGCTGAAATCTCTGCAGTGTTTTATACAAGTTGTAAGTTGAGTAAAGTCTAAAATTATCAGGATTTGTAAGTCTTCTAAAGATTACTGAATTTGGGAGTAATAGTTCTGGTCCAAGATGGCAGGCAACATAGGAAGACTGTAGACTCATCTCCTCCACAGACACATGAAATCTATGCCTATTTATAGAGCAATTACTCCTAAGGAAGACCTAAGGGCTGACTGAACAGCTTCTGAACAATTAAAGACCACGTGCAGAATGGCACAGTAACAAAGGGAAACCCCACCCAGCACTGTGAACTGTAGTGAGGAGGGGTAGTGCTGAGGGAGTGTGAACGGATTTGACTGCTCTGGGACACACAAAAAAAAGCCACACTTTAAAAGCGCAACGAGATGGGGCGCCTGGGTGGCTTAGTCAGTTAAGCGTCCGACTTTCGCTTAGGTAATGATCTTGTGGTTTGTGGGTTCGAGCCTTGCGTCTGGCTCTGTGCTGACTGCCAGCTCAGAGCCTGGAGCCTGTTTCAGTCTGTGACTCCCTCTCTTTCTGACCCTCCCCTGCTCACGCTGTCTCTCTCTCTCCTAGAAATAAATAAAACATTTAAAAAAAAAAATAAAAGGGCAATGAGAATATACAGAAACCAGTCATACAACCCTTTCAGATGGCAGGGAGCTCCTGGAATTCTAAGTCAGAGGGGCTGATGGGCACTGTCGTTTACATTCCTCCTTCATCTTGATAGTATGGATGAGAGCAGGGGTGGGTGCCCTAGCTGGTCTCCTGCCTTAGGAATCCCAGACCCCTAGCCCACACCAGCCCTGTTGTCCTACTAAGGCAGCTAAGGTGTCCACAACAGGACACCTCTGGTCACACTCACTACAGCTCCAGCTGCCTTGCCAAGGTGACACAAGTGTAAAGCACACTGGAATACTCCAGGCCTACATCACTTCAGCTCGAAATGGTGTGCTAGGGCCTCCCCAGTGCAGAGTGCTCTGGGACCTCGGGAGCTCACCCCACCGGGGTGCCCCTTGTGCATAGGGCCCTGGGAACACTTGGTCCATACCCATCTCAGCATCATTTGCTCTGCGAGAGCAACTTGTATACTGAATGCTTGCATACCCTGTCTTGCACTCACTTCAGCTTTAGCTATCCTGCCCACGCATCCTCTGTGCAGAGAGCCCCAAGATCACCCTAGCCCATGCCTACACTTCAGTTTCAGCTATACTGCCAGGATTCCCTCTGTGCAGAGAGACCCAGGACCTACTTACTACCTTGTACCCACTTCTCTTTCAGCTGTGCTACCAGGGTACCTTCTTTGTGGAGAACGCAGGGACTTCCCTAGCCTGTGTCCACTTCAGCTGTCCCACCAGGGCACTCTCTGTGCAGATGGTCCTAAGGCCACCCCAACTTATGCCCAGTTTAGCTCTGGCATCCCACCAGGGCAGACCCAGCATGGAGTGCCCCAGGAACTCCCCTGACACCAGCTACACTTCCAGCCAGCTAGCCAAAGTCACCAGCTACAGTGTCCACACAGGGAATGACCATTCCTTCAAGTTTAGGAGAACTAGCTATTCTACCTAATTCACAGAAACACACACAGAAAGTCAAGCGAATAGGGAGATAGAGGAATATGCTCCAAATGAAAGAACCAGTCAAAGCCTCAGAAAAAGAACTAAATGAAATGGAATTAAGTAATATGTCTGATAAAGGGTTTAGAGTGATGATCATAAAGATGTTCACCAGACTGGTGAGAATAGTGGAAGAACTCAGTGAGAACTTCAACAAGGACATAGAAAATATAAAAGAAAACTAATCAGAGTTAAAGAATACAATAACTGAAATGAAAAATACACTAGAGGGAATCAAGAGACTAATAGATACAGAAGAATGGATCTGCAGACTGGAGAATAGGGTAATGGAATGCACCCAAGCTGAACAGGAAGAAAAAAAATTTTTAAAGTGAGGATAGGTAAGAGATCTCTTCAACAACATCAAGCAAACATTCACATTATAGGAGTCCCAAGAGAAGGGTGGGGGGGGGGGGGGGGGAGAGAGAGAAAGGAGCAGAACATTTATTTGAAGAAATCTCTATTCCAGGGAAGGAAACAGCTGTCCAGATTCAAGAGGCACAAAGAGTCCCAAAGAAAATGAACCAAGGAGGTCTGCACCAAGACACAGCATAACTAAAATGTTAAAGATTAAAGATCAAGAGAGAAGCCAATGTACCACATAAGGGAAACCCCATAAGGCTATTGGCTGATTCTTCTGTTGAAACTTTGCACTCCAGAAGGGAGTGGCATGATATATTCAAAGTGCTGAAAAGAAAAAATCTACAACCAAGAATAACTCTACCCGGCAAGGTTATCATTGAGAATTGAAAGAGAACTAAAGAGTTCTGAGACAAGTAAAATTTAAAGGACTTCATCACCAGTAAACTAACATTATAAGAAAAGTTAAAGGGACTTCTTGAAGTGGAAAAGAAAAGGCCATACTTAGAAGAAAATTATGAATAACAAGATACAAAATATGACAACATATAAATAAAATGGGGAAAAGAGTAAAAATAAATCTTCTAGAATGTGTTTAAACTTAAGTGACCATCAACTTAATATAGGCTACTATACTTAGGATGTTATATATGAGCCCCATGGAAACCACAAACCAAACACCCATAATAGGTCCACAAAAAATAAACAAAGAAAGCCAAGCATAACGCTAAAGAAAGTCATCAATCATAAGGGAAGAGAGCAAGAGACGAAGAAAGGAACAGAGAAGAACTACAAAAACAACCAGAAAACAATGAACAAAATGGCAGTAAGTACATATCTATCAATAATTACTTTAAATGTTAATGGTCTAAATGTTCCAATCAAGGACATAGAGTGATTCCATGGATTAAAAAAACAATACCCGTCTACATACTGCCTACAAAAGCTCACTTCAGACCTAAAGACCCATACAGACTGAAAGTGAGGGGATGAAAAAAGATATTCTATGCAAATGTAAGTGCACACACACACACACACACACCTTGGGTTAGCAATACTTG